TTCCCCACTGTTCCATTTTCCCCAATGGAATGGCACCAGACAAGAATCAGATGAATCTGCACACATGATGGTGAGTGGGGCCTCACTATCTTTTGAGCCTGGAACAGCTTCCTACAGTTTTGTGGACACGGGGCCTAGGAAAAAGCTAAGAACAAAAGGACTGAGGACTGAGTCAGTGTGGAGAAAGATGTCTTCAGGGTACTCTAATTAGGAGACCTCAGAATGGAGGCCCCTATGCTAAGAGTGCAGGTATGCCTGAAAACATGGCCAGCCATAAGAACCAGAGCCCTTTCCAGAAACTTCCTTCAGAGCCTGCATACATTAACACTGTGCGTACATAGGATGTGGAAAGGGCAGATTTTCTCCATGAAATCTGTCAGGTAGCACTTTTGTAGTTATCTATAGTTGGAGGGTTTGTACAAGGAGCTAAACTCAAATTCTAATTAGTTTTTCCACTTTGAAAAGTCATATCAGTGAGAAATAGATAATTTAATAATAATGTATGGAAATGCCAATACCCTACTTTCAATAAACAATAGAACTAAGAGGCGATCAACAAGGAAACAGTATAAAATAACAGTATAAAATAACTGGACCTACCACTTCTATTTAACACTGTACTGGAGGCTCTAACCAGAGCAATTAGGCAAGAACATGAAATAAAAGTCACCCAGTTGGAAAAGCAGAAGTATGGCTCTCTGTATTTGCAGATGGCATGATCTTATGTAGAAAAGGTTTTAAGGAATCCACAAAAAAGCTATTACAACTAATAAACAAATTCAACAAGTTTTAGAATAAAAGATCAATATACAAAATCAACTCCTTTCCCATACTAGCAATGAAGAATTTAAAACGAAATTAATGAAACACTTTCATTTAATATAGTACCATCAAGGACAAACCCTTTCCAACCTCAGTATCAGCTTTCTCTGGCTTCTTGGGAATGTTCTCACTGGGATCTCCCAATATGAGCAGTAGAACATATTCTAAGGAAGTATCTCCCTTTGTACTTTCCATCAAAACTTACCTATTTTGTGCTTATTTCTTCAAAAAATTACTGTGCCCTATGTGGTTTTCAGCTTGTTATCACTCCAGACCTCTCAATAAATTGCTGTAGGGATCTTTTGAAAAATATAAAAAGTGATCATAAAGATAGATAAATGTATGTAATAAAGAGTAAAAATCCCATTTTTGATTGTTTTTTTTTTTTTTTTTTTTTTTGTAATTGGTCATGATTGTGTGTTATACAGAGTACTCCAAAATAGGAAAGTAAATAGAAGGGGGATTAAATATATATAAGAAAAATCATTGTTATTGCTTATAATAAAAATTAAGAACTCTTTTGATAACCTATAGTTAAACTTAGTTTCAGCACCTTTATTGAGAACTGAGTAATAAGAATGTGTGCTCCCCAAAAGGGGCAAGCCAATGAATGACTCAGACTCAGTCTTGCTGGCAAAGCAACTCCCTCCTAATAGAAATTTAATATTATTTGTATGTATTTTTCTTTCTCTTTAAAATTGAAGTAACATTGGTTTACATAAGTGTATATGATTCACATATGTAGAATCACAACCTTTTGATGTATGTTACCACACCCACCACCAAGATACTAATAATCCTCCACCCTATTCTGTTGGGATCCCTCCAGACTTTGCTTCCCACCCTCCCTTTCCGCTTTCGATAGGCTCAATTCTACACAGATTTCTAGGGTTTGTTACTGGTTTCGTTTTGTCTGACTCTTTGTTTTCTTTCTCTCTATTCCACATATAAGTGAAACCATCCAGTATTTGCCTTCATTCTTCTGACTTATTTCACTTAGAATTATCTCCTCCAGTTGATTCATGTTGTAGCAAATGACACGAGTTTATCATATTTTTATAGCTGAATGATTTCACTGTGTCTGTATACCACATCTTCAAATTCTTCAACAAATGGTGTTGGGAATCTGAATGGCCATATGCAAAAGAATGAAACTACACTAGTATCTCAATGTATACAAAAATTATCTCTAATTAAAGAATTGGATGTAACACCTGAAACCATAAAATACATAGAAGAAAATATAGACAAAACCCTCCATGACATTGGCTTCAGTGATGTTATTTATATTATTTGGCTGTTGAGAGGACTTACAAGAATTAGGTAGAATCAAGTAATGTCACTTTAAACAGAAAGAAAATGTTTTTTTTACATCATTATGTAAGGAATAAATATAGGAGAAATAATTATATTACTCTAGTCGACATAGTGTTTCACATACATTTATCTTATCCTATGGGGAAAGGAAATAAGAGATTATTAACTTGGCTTACAAACTACATCTATGTTTTATATATAGTTTCTCTCTCTGTATATACACATATGTATGTCTTTATATACATATACATCGTATAGATTTATCCCTGTTTTTATTTCTTTGAAGCAATAGGAGCCAAGCACAAAATATTAAGTACCAGATCACACTTGTAAAAAGACATACAGTCACAGCCCCTCCCTTGTGTGGTAAATGCATACATGTATATTTGTATAAGTGCTTTTTATGTTTTGAAGCTTATAATAAGTTAAGCATTTACAAAATATGTATTTTCATCCTAAATATTTCCTGTGTATGGAATCATATCTTTGGTCAAATATAGAAAAAGTAAGTTTAGAACATGCCCAAGGGTTTTTGAATCTTCCTATTTTTAAAGCAAGTTTTATAAAAACTGTTTTAATATACATAGCTCTGATTACATAACTCACTTCCAGTCTCCTATCAAAAGATAGCAAACCTAGATAGAGTAAGTGCTAGGTTTTAATAATAGGTATTAGGTATTAGTCCACCTTTGTGGACTATCATCTGCCAGTATAATCAGCATTATTTTTCACCTGTTCAGTAAATATTGTTGGGTGCACAGCAGCATTGAGAGGGATGAGTTGGTCCCAGGAAATATTTAACTAGTGAGACTTTTATTAATAGAGAGCAGAAGGAAACCACATCTGGTGGAGCCTTGCAAGTCCTTATCAAAGGACAACTTTATCAACAAAAACCTCATCACCTGCAACTGTCACCATGCTCCCATTACTTGGGAATCTGTTTTTGTTTTTGTTTTCTTAATAAGCAAAACTGTTCATCTACAGCAACTAACAGAAATTCCAAAGCATGTAACACTTCATTCACCAATAAAAGTAGTTTAATTCTCAACCAGTTTCACTGAACTGAAGCAAATAACACTTGACAACTCCATTAGGAAAGTAGAACTGCTGTGTCCAACACTATTAGAAAACTGTTGCTTAGATCCTTATACCTCTGGAACACAAACAGTGATATAAACCAATATTACCTCAAAAAAAAAAAAAAAAAAAAAAAGAAAAACCAGACCTAAAGCAGAAGTTTCACACCTTTACTCTCAAAGCTTAGGAAGACATAAAACTGTGCTGGCTTCTCATCATTTTGCCTTCTCTCTTCAGCAAAGATTCTTTAGTGAACAATAAATCATACTTTGCAAACTAGTAATTACTAATTACTGTTGGACTCTGGTAAAGAAACTGTCTAAAATATATGAAATAAAACTTAGAATGCAAATTAATAGACTTATTTCTTGTTTTGTGGAAACAGTAAATAAAAGAATTTTAATATCATCTTTTGAATGAATTCAAATGAATTTCTGGTAGATTAAATTCTAAAATCTTTATATCTTCAGCATAGACCTAGAGAATTAGAAAATTAAGGACTAATGCTGTATACAACTAAAAGGATTAAGTTGAATTTTTTTTTTTTTACTTCAAGAGCACACAAAACATTATCTCCTAGCCTCACCTACCTTTATCTTTCTTTCATTTGTCCTTTCTTTCATTTGTCCATTTGCCATTTCCCCACTCCTTAAGGCTATAATCTCAATGGTATTGCAAATACTTTGTTTTTCGTACATTTCATGCTTTCATAAAGTAGAAGAAATACCTTATAGCAGCATAGAGATATAGGTAATGTCATTCTCAGTATTGTTGGAGAGTGGTGCCCCATTTTTAAGCTATAAGCAAGAAAATGTCAGCCCCTCACCTCATGTCCCCAGTCATACTTTATGTTTCCCATCACTCACATCATTGGGATGAAAAACCAAAACAACACCCCCGGTTTTAAAGTGGATGTTAATTTTTCTGTTATGATGACTTTGTTTTCAGCAGAATCAGTTCTTACTGTCCAGTAGAAGAGTCTGAATCTACATTTTTCAACAACATTAATCCTTTAGCTCTTTACAGTTTCTTCAGCAGAGCCAAGCTAATTGCTATTCTGTGAGGGTTTACTCAAAACTGCACAGTAACATATGAAAGATAGCACAGTGCCTTGCACAACCCCCTGGAATTGATCACTTATTCCTTTGTGTCTCACCAAACCTACACAGATGTTTATCACAGTATTTCTGCTACCTTAATACAATTTCTTGTTTACATATCTCTCTTTCTCTTATTGTATTTGTGGCATGGCATCTAGTATAATGCCTGGCTCATGGTAATTGCTTAATTAATATATCTTGAATGAAAACTCTAGTGTGAGAAGCAAGGAATTAGTGAGGTAATTAACCAAGTACTAAGTAAAGGAATAAATGTGGAGTGGCAGGTTGACTGGAGGACACAGTACAGAGTAATTCTGGCAGTGCTAGGGCAGGCATTGTGGAGGTAGAAATAAGCAAGTTTCCAAAGGAAAAGGGCAGTGGAAGCTAGCCTGTCTGGCCCATGTGGTAAAGTAAAGAGAGTTAAGTTTGGACAGACACAAATGACAGAAACTCCCAAAAGTTAAAATTAAGGAATTTGAATTTGAGTTGAAAGCAGTAAGGAGACTCTATAGTTTTTGATTTAGATAAGAAAATAATCAAAATATTTTAAAGTTTTGTTTAAAAGAGTGTATGCTTATATCAAAAATTTGTGTGTCTTGAACATCAGATTATGAAATATTTATTTTAGGCTGTGGGTCATCAGTTGATCCTGATGGTCTCTTTTTCTCTCTTCTCATCCCATAGGTGGTTATTTTGTATTTTGAGCCAAGCACATTTCGCTGTATTCTCCTGAGATGGGTCCGTCTTCTGGGTTTTGCTACTGTTTATGGAACTGTCACTCTCAAACTTCACAGGTATATTTTATTAGTTTTCCTTCCCATAGAGGATGAAAGTGTTTGGCTTAACATGTAATTGCAAGCTGGGTCAGTCACAGCTTGAATATATATATTAAAGGAAATATCTATCTACTGGATTCTCTAGGAAAATCTTCTATATAGCTGAATTGGAACAACATGCTTTAATAAAACATGCCATTAGTTTCCATTAACCATGGAAAGTTTAATTCTGAATACGTTTAGACTGAATTCAAAGCAGCATATACCAGCTAGGAACAGGAAAGAGTATAGAGACAATTCAGCTGAAATAACAATCTAGGTTCAGAACTACCAAAGGACCCTATATATTAAAATTCTGCAGTATGCCTATTTGAGAAAAACTACTGTCTTCCATTCCCAATTCCCATGTCCCAGGGCAATCCTGCTCATATTCTAAGGGTGAAGTGAGAAAAAAAATGTGTTTCTGGCTTTCCTCCTTAACCATAGTGGTCCAGTCATTATTATTGACTTTGTATATTAAAGAAAACTATAAATTCTCTTAAATTTAGTTTCATAACCATCTACTTTTTAAAAAGTGTATAACAAATAAGTATGTACAATAAATATTATGAAGGAAGAGAAAATAAAATAAATCACTGATCCACAAAGGCTAGACATCACTGAAATGATTTCAGGACTTTTCCTTGCTGCCTCTTTCTACGTTTTCTCTAGGTAGTAGTGCCCAAGAACAATGGGGAGAAACACATAAATTTCATTTGTAGGATAAAAGTGTTGCTCTATAGTGGAAACCCTTTCTACTGATCTGTTTTAAAGCTTTTTTGAAAACCACAGTAAGGCATTTATATTTCCATGCTAATTTGTCCATGCGTGTCTCAATAAAAGTATCTTAATGTGGCTCATAGAGCAATTTATCTTAGATGCCATAATAAATTGTAATATATTTGTCTTTAAGTGTATCCCCTTTCAACCCTTTTTAAAATGTGATGATTGTACTATCTACTATACAGAGGTGCTCCTTCTTCCCTTCTTCTCTTCCTGCTCCTCCTCCTTTTTACAGTAATGCTCTAGATTCACTTTTGGAACAAATATAAATATCCTTAATTCTCAACCTACCTTTCTTGTATGTCATTTAATACAAGGAATATTGGAGTGAATTTTAGGATATCCAGTTCAAATCTCAGTTTAGTTCTAACTCGGAAACAATCATAGGCATCTATAAAAGTAAAGGATTGAACAATCCTTTGAAACAAAAGTAAAGGATTACTTTTACCTGTAAAAGTAAAGGATTGAACAATCTCTAGCATACTTTCTGACTCACTTTATTCTTACCATATCACCACACACTTTGTCCTTTTATTCTTTGGGTACTATGCAGTTTTATTCCTTATATGATAGCTACTATTCACTAAAGAAAATGAGAAATTAACAGCTTAGCATTAACAATAAAGCTTCTAGGAATCCTAAAATAATGGGTGACCTCTGAAGACTTGAAAATTACCCTTCTTATGTGTCTCCTCATGTGATTATTCGATCCTCTACTCTATAATACAGTTTGCTTATGTAATTATCTTCATTTTTACCTAATTCACCTTTTCCTTGATGTGAGGGTCTTACTACTGAGTCCGCAGCCCTTGGGACAATGTCTAACACATGGGAGGTGTGTAATAGATGTGAGTTGATAAGTGAATAAATAAAATGTCTGATACAGACTTGGAAGCTGCTTCCCACAGTTCTCTCTACAGATAATACATTCTTATTGCCCTGCTTCATTGTGTGTCCTCAAGTGTCTGGAACATGTAACACTGTAGTCTGAAGATGGGTGTTTGATGGGATGCAAACTGTATTAAATAACACTGAATCATATACTAAGGAAAGGACTTCCATTCAATTTATCTTTCCATTCTTCTGATTATTTCCAGGAGACTAAGTACTTTGAAACTGGCAGATCTTTAACACCTGCCCAACAGTGACTGTTCTTCCTTTGTAACAAAGAGCAATCAAGCATCAGGTTCAGAGCTTTCCAATACTATCTAGATAAAGCTAATTAATTTTGTTTCTTTTTTTTTTGAGTTCTCTATCAGTTTTTCATTGAAAGTGGCAATATAAAGTTTCCTTTAAGATATGTTAAAGCAATACATAGAAATTGATTTAAAGAAAATATTAGCCAGTGCTCAGAGATAAGCAGAAATCTGAGGGTGGAATGCAAGTAATTGGAATTTGGGAAACTCAATTACTTTAACATTTTTGCTTATTTGAAAGATTGGAATTAAGAGTATTTTCTCTCTGAGAAGTCAATGCCTTGAAGAATTACCCTACCAAAGACTTAAATCAAGTGGAAACTATTTGTAATTTAATGAGCTAAATTATTCTTATCCAGTCAGAACCATATGGCTTTATATTATAATTTTGAGGTTTTTTTCTATATTACTCAAATTTAACTGATTGCAATACTGTTTATGTCTTAAACAGAATAATCAATGTCCCTAAAGAAATGTGAACAACTCAATGGGAGTTACTGGCTGATCCAGCTTTGAATGTCCCCATTCTTAGTGCTTCACCTTGCCAATATTAAACATTCAGATATTTCTTAATGAAAAATTAGTGGATGTTTATAGTAAATACAGTGACTAGGGGGGGTGTCTTTGGTTGGTGTCTCTGAAGTTATGCAAAATATGGCCATGAAGAAAAGATCAAGATTTTATGTTAATATGATAGAGAGGAAAGATGTAATCCTAACAAATACTAATTTTAATTTCTGTTCTGCCATTAACTTTGTATACAATCAGGAAAAAATTACTTTAACTTCTGAGAATCCGTTTTCTCACCTAACATGTAAAGTGGTTCTAAAGATTAAATGTGGTTGGAGTGTATGTAACTATATCAAGTAGGGATTTTTGGCTCCAAACCAGATTTATAACTTAATTAAGTAAAAAGGGAAGTCTTTGGAAGGATATAGTGAAAATCATAGAATTGAAAGGAAGTCTACAGAACAGGCTTTCAAAGGCCTGACCCAGGGTAATTTGTGGGATCCCGATAGCATAGGCTAAGGCATAAAGTCCTTGAATGCTATAGTTTTATCATCATAGAGATTTTATTTTTTATTTCAGATAAAAAAATTAAATCCTACCTTGGCAGGCAGAAAATTCTAGGGAAATTATTATTACTTCTAAATAAAATAACTGTTTTTGTCCCTTAAGAATAGGACAGGCAAGAAAGACCAGAGTTTAATTTCAGTTATTTTCCTCAAGGTTTAGTAAAATTATTAAACCTTTCTCTCTCCATCCACTGGTCTCTCACTGATTGGTTGTTATGTTTGCAGAAATGCAGTAGTTCTGAAACCTAGACGCAAAAATGAAAAGGGAACATGATCTCACTGTCCATGGTAATGATTCTCCTAGGCTGGGATGGAAACTTAAAGGTTTTCTTCATATTTACCAAATTTTCCACTTATTTTTCCAGTGGTTTCTCCCAGCATTTGAGAACTGTACAGCAAAAGGCTATTATACAGATGACCCAAAGGAAAATTGCAAAAGAATCCTTTGTTTATGAAATAGTGCAATACAGGAGTAAAATATGTTGGGGGAGGGAGTGAGAGTGGTCTTTCCCTTCAGGGAGTACTTTTACCACTGACATCATTTGGTATCACCAGCAACTGATGGAGATAAAAAGGCCAAATTTTAGTTATTATTATTATTATTATTACATCAAATACTCAAAAGCCAAAATGAACCCCACTGTTACTGGCACGGAGGGCAGACCAGTCCCACTACCTCACCTCATTAGCAGCCCAAATGCAATTTATTTAAACCTAAAACTGTTTGTTCCTTTCTGAAGAAAGAGAAAAAAATGGCTCATAAGAAAAAAATAGATTTAAGGCAGGCAAAAATAAAGGAATTTCCTTCAGTAACCATAGATATCCATAGATAGGTTTGTCTAGTACATGAATGATGTAGGATGGATCTAAAAGAACATTTAGCACCTCTGTAGATGTGTGGGATCACAGAATATTTCCTAAGTTAGGTTTGTTCATATATTTTTTAAGAAACTTGGGAAGCGTGGTGAAGGATTATAAGTGCTTTGGTGGTGGGTGTGGTGTGTTAACATCGATCTGAAGAAGTGTGAATCTATTCCATTAAATCATGTACAGTGTTTTAAATCAATATTACCTCAGTAAAAGAAATTATATATTTTTAAAAGGTACAAACAACTTCTAGTTATAAAAAGCAGTCCCGTGGATGTAATGTGCAGCATGGTTAATAAAAATGATCTTATATTTGAAAGTTGCTAAGAAATTAGACTTTAAAAGGTCTCATCACCAGAAAAGATAGTTAGCTATGTGAGCTTACGGATATAACTAAACCTGTTGTAGTAATCATTTTGCAATAAATACATATATCCAATCATTGTTTTACATCCTAAAATTATATAATATTATATGTAAATCATATTTCTTAAAAGTAAATGAAAAATGAATGTAAAAAAGAAATTTCGGGAGGCATATATCTAGACTCAGGAGGGGGGAATATAGTTTCAGGAGGCAAGGGGGGAATGTTTTTAAGTGAAAAGGGGTAGAGAGAGATTGAGAAACTCTATACTAAAAGAATTTTTTTCTATTCTTGTTATACAGTTTTTGAAAACACATTGCTTTTTCCCTTTTCTAAAGCTAATCAAGAAAGACAAAAGACTTTTTTTTGTACTGTATTTAAAATGAATATTTAAACAAGCTGGGAAAAAACCTTCCTTGGCCGTGAACTAGGGATTTTCATTTCATGCATTATTCAGTACTCCTTGGTCTGGATACAATACAATACATAGCAGGTTTCTCTCCTGTGCTCATTAGCTCCAAATATTTACAATTTGTGGGAAAGTTGGGTTTTTTTATTTTTTTTTAGTTTGTTTCCTAGCAAATTTGCAACAGTAACTGGAAGATATTTATTTTTATGTATTCTTTTGAAAATGCATAAAATACAATAACACATCTCAAATTTTAAAGGACCAAAGAAAAGCGAGTTCATAACTATATAGAAAAACTAAGAGCTAGGGATAAAATGGAGATTATCTCTTTTAGCTTGTGATAGAAAATCCAGAAATAAACCCACAGATTTATGGTCAACTAATCTTTGACAAAGGAGCAAAGAATATGCACTGGAGCAAAGAAAGTTTGTTCAATAAATGGTGCTGGGAAAACTGGGTCACTACATGCAAAAGAATGAAGCTGGACTACTACCTCACACCATGCACAAAAACCAACTCAAAATGGATTAAAGAACTAGACATAAGACCTGAAACCATAAAATACATAGAAGGAAATATAGGTGAAACACTACATGATATGCACATCAAAGACATCTTTACAGACACATCACCCAAAGCAGTGAGAGTGAAGGCAAAGATAAACAGCTGGGACTACATCAAATTAAAGAGCTTCTGCACAGCAAAAGAGACAATAACAAAAACAAAGAGAAACCCCACCGACTGGGAGAACATTTTTGCACACAACACTAATGATAAAGGACTGATCACAAAAATCTGCGCAGAGCTGATGAGACTCAGCAACAACAAAGAAAATAACCCAGTCAAAAAATGGGCAGAAGAGCTAAAAAGAAACTTCTCTGAAGAGGAAATGCAAATGGCCAACAGGCATATGAAAAAATGTTCAACATCACTTGTAATCAGGGAAATGCAAATCAAAACTACTATGAGATACCATCTCATACCAGTGAGAATGGCATATATTAAAAAAAAACTAGCAACAACAAATGTTGGCGAGGTTGTGGAGAAAAAGGAACTCTCCTGCACTGTTGGTGGGAGTGCAAAGTGGTCCAACCACTATGGAGAGCTGTGTGGAGATTTCTGGACCTACTAAACATAGAGCTTCCATATGATCCAGCAATTCCACTCCTAGGTATTTACCCAAAGGACACAGAAACATCAATTCCAAAGAGCAGCTGCACCCCTATGTTTATAGCAGCACTGTTTACAATAGCTAAGCTTTGTAAACAACCCAAATGCCCAAAAATAGATGACTGGATCAAGAATATGTGGTACATACACACCATGGAATATTACTCAGCATTCAAAAAAGATAAACTCATGCAATTTGCAGCAACATGGATGGAGCTGGAAGGGATCATGCTCAGCGAAATAAGCCAGAAAGAAAAAGAAAAATACCAGATGGTCTCACTCATAGCAGCAATCTAGAAAACTTAAATAAGGGACCAGGAAAAAAATAACTATAAGAAAGATAATATCAAAATCAACAAACAACTATGAACCAGAGACACTCTGTGGGGGGTGGGGGAGTGGAGAAAGGAGGGATTGGGGTCAAAATAAGGGGGTTGTAATTCTATGGGGAATATAAAAATAAAATTTAAAAAATAAAATAAAAAGAAATAAGAGGTATCGAGATGGAGGGAAGAAGTAAAACTATTTGCAAATGACAATCTTCCTTGAGAAAATCCAAAAACCCATAAGAACTAAAAAGCAAGTTTGGCAGTGTTGCTATATACAAGCTCAACATGCAAAAATCTATTGTATTTCAAATCTTTCTATGGAAAATCAATGCATTGTCTATTGTTAAAATTGTTGATTCTTTATATACAAGTGAGAATCTAAAGAATATTTTTGATTAATCTGCATGTGGACTCTTTCTAAATTTTTATGTTTCTTGATAACACCAATATATTAAAATGTTCTCTTTCCCTTAAATTAACAGTCTATTTTAGTGACTCAACGGAGCCTTTCCAAAACACTTAAAATACGATTTTATGTAAATGTCTCATTTTGTGTTATAGTTGTGTATATTTTTAATATAATTTAATTAAATTATATAAAGTAATAGTGATGAGCATAATATGGTGACAAATACAAATGATTCTTAACAAGTACCAGTTCAACTGGTTGGAGCAAAAGTGTTTGAGGCGTACTGGAGAGAATAACACATTAACTGCCAGTGCTAACGTTCACCTGACAGGGACAGTCCTCAGTATGTCTACATAAGGAATGAAGAATGACTGGTGAATTAGTTAAATGGAGAGTAAAAAGACCTTCTGTTGTGCTTTTATACTAGTATCATTCTGATAGTGAAATAATTCATTTTTCTACTTTCATTGAATTTAGTACCTTGTCTCTTTAATTTCTACTAAATTTAAACCAACTAAAATCTACTTATGAAGAGTTCTGTTTTCTTTCTCTCTCCTCTCTCTTCTTCTCTCTGGAAAACAGTAGACAGAGAGGTGTTCTGGTTCCTGTTCTCAGTCTGCCCTCCTTAGATGCAGGTATAATTTATAATTTAGAGAAATTGAGTGAATAACTTCATCCTTTTCTTGCTGAAGGACAGTAGGGTTAACATAGGTGGAGAAAAGAATAAATAAAAATCTGCTTGAAAATAACTTTATTTACTGAGTATGTTGCATAATTTAGGGGAAGCCAACAGAGATCTATAGAGAGGGGGAAAACCAGCATAATACATGGAGGCTATTTCATGTGTATTGTTTTCATCTATGAATTTGAGATTTTTGTGAAGCATTCAGATGAATACTTCATTAAAACGTTGAAAGAATAAGATGAAGGAAAGAACAGAAAAGTTGGGAAAATGAATTTCTTTTTGCATTTTGGAAATTGATTACAGATAACCTCATAATGTCATAAAACATTCATGATGAGTGGGGCCTAAAGCCCTAAGCCTTGGGGTGCGCTCCTGGGTGGAAGCTGACAGTCGTTGTTGCTAGTGACAGCTACACTAGGATGAAGTACAAGGAGCGTTCTGCTACCAGGAACATGGAAGAGAGACCAAATGTACAATGTGGACTTCTGCTCCAAATTCCCAGAAGGTGCCACATGCATAGGTTTCAGATTTGCCGCAGCGCACCTGACAGAGCAGAGATGATGACTGCAGGGGAGAATGGGGAGATGCAGCGGGGCTTCCAGGAAGTGTTCCTGTCCTCTCCTTCCCTTTGAGTTTCTTTCTAAGACCATGGCAGTAGCTAAATTATACCTGCATCTAAGGCAAGCAGACTGAGAACAGGAACCAGAACACTTCTCTGTCTGCTGTTTTCCAGAGAGAAGGAGAAAGAGGAGAGAGAAAACAGAACTCTTTATAAGTAGGTTTTGGTTGGTTTAAATGTAGTCAAAATTAAAGTGACAAGGCACTAAATTCAATGAAAGTAGAAAAATAAGTTATTTCAGCATTTTACTTCCTGACTTTCAGATTTGCGTTTACGTTTTGTTTTGCTCTTTCAGGGTTTTAAAGGTGTTTCTTTCACGAACAGCCCAACGAATTCCCTATATGACTGGTGGACGGGTCATGAGGATGCTGGCAGTAATACTCCTGGTAGTGTTTTGGTTTCTTGTTGGCTGGACTTCGTCTGTTTGCCAGAATTTGGAGAGGCAGATTTCACTTGTTGGCCAAGGGCAAACATCTGATCACCTCATCTTCAATATGTGCCTCATTGAGCGCTGGGATTACATGACAGCAGTTGGTATGTGGACACTTCTTTTGTGTGATTGTCTTGGCCTTTTACCAGTAGCATTAAAAAGGACTTCTTTGGCAGCCTTGCCAAACCCTTTCACAAAAGTTAAAGAAGTTTCTCCTAATGTGGTTTTAGTAAAACAAAATTATGAAAAGAACAATAATGACATGTGGAATGCAAACTTTTTCTGAAAGTTTGCATTCTTTTTCAAAGGTATTTAGCTTTGTTAAGAAAGTGTATTGAAGTGAATTGGGAAGGAAAGAAGCAGTAAATAAGAATCCTTCTTTGTACAAAGATACTCTGCTTTCCATCTCATCACTGTGTCCCCATTTTATTAACAGTAGCTGTTCTCTTGACATTTCTTTAGTCAGAAGAGAAAGAAAACATGTTGGCATTTTTTAACAGTTTTGGTCCTGTGATATTTCAGACTTGTATCTAGGACACTCTTTGTATAGAGATTTTCTCTGCAGAATTTCTAATTAATCTGCTTTTCCTCTAAAGATAATGTATTAGGAATTCTCTGGAGAGCCCATATTACACAAAAACAAAACTATATTTCACATGGGTAGGAAAAGTTACGTGACAAAGAAACTGGAGAATTCAGAAGAACCATGTGATGATGTAGGCCAAAGCACAGATTATCTTTCTAGCACCACAGTTTTTTGAAAATTGAAGAGAAATCCATAGAATTTTTCTGTTTTTCACATTCGGCTATTTTAAGTTAAGCCTTCAAAGATACAGAAAAAAAGAATGAAAACAAGCCTTTATTATTTTGTTGGTATTTCCCTCAGTAAGCCACAGGAGGTAAAAATATTTGACAGAGGTTAAAGAAATAAACAACTGAGTTTATTATTTTCTGTTTCCCCCATATTTGGTAGTTGGTTGAATGTCACATTTAGTATTTTTTTAAGAAGTCTTTTAAAATGTGTACTAGTTTATGATTTAAATGGAATAACATTTTCCTGGTAAAGATATTTTAAGTATCTCATATGCCTCATAGTTGTGACGATAAAGCAATGTGGACATGTAAAGAGAATAATAATGGTAATATACAAATAAAATCACCACATTTTGATCAATGTTAATGAAGATATTAATAAAACCATAATAGTTGATATTAATATCAATATAAGAAGATAAAGCATAGAACTAAGTTAGGAAGCAATTCTGATTTTTCTGTTAGTCTGAATAGGAAAATAAAAACCAATAGTGTGGATAAAAAAATTCTACTCAATGGAAACCTCTAACATAATTTTATATTCTTCAATTCAAGTAGGATTCAATACAAGAGTGGTGAAACTAGGAAAAACCATTTCCCTGTATTATTATGAAGTAATTTTTTTCTGTTTTACAAATAATATAATACTTAAAATACATGATATGACATCATTGGGTCAGGAATAAACAAGAAGAAAGCTATTTACCTAATAGTTTTTTATATTTTGTATACCTCAGTTTTGAGATGTATTCACAGCCTTTTTAAACTTCATTTTCACTCTGAAAATCACATTTGTCATCTATACATAGAAATAAATAGAAATAGATAGTAATCTGGATTTTATAAGAACTCTTTAGAAAATAAGAATTTTATACAATAAATAAGATCCACTGTGTATCTGTAGTTTCCAGTACTGTGTTGAACACTTTGCAGGATATAGAAAATGTACAAAGGCCTGGCTGTTGGTTCACATAGATTAAAGAGAATTGTTAAAAATTATTAAAAAACAAAATTAGGTGGCAAGCATTCTTGATACAATATTAATTCAGTAAAGCACCTGTGTAAACCAGAACCCAGTAATCTTTATTGAAGACAAGTTTTTTGAGCCATTGGTGATATTTAGATTATTATAAAGAGTTATAGAACATTCCCTTTGATAGGAATGTGGTAGTGGTGGATGGAGTAAGAATTGTATGAAACATGAAGGAAATGTCTAAAAGAGAGATTATGTTAGAATACATTGTGAATAATAATGATTTATTGTAAGTCTTGAAGACATGTTATAGGAATTTGGAGATCCAGGAAAGTGATGTGATGAATGAGTTTAATCAAAATTGCTTTTCAGACATGTATTTTTAAGGGAAATTTACCAAATTCTGGGAATTTGGACTTGGAATCATTAGAATGGAGAGAACAGTAGTTCTCAAAGTGAAGTCTCAAAACTAAGTGCAACATCAATGGAGAGTTGTTAGAAACGCAAATTCTAGGGTCTGGACTCAGACTTCCTCTGTCAGACACTATGGGATAGTGTCTGTCTTTAATAATCCCTGCAGATAAATTCTGGTGTTATTCTAAATGACAGAAATTCTGACTCAGAGAAGAAATCAGTTGAACTTGCTAGAACATAACGATCATTTATCTCAATTGTGCTCTGGATATTCCATGGTATTCTTATTGTTTACCTGATCAACTACTAGAAAATTCTTCACAATGGTAATTTCACTTCTTGTCCTGTATCCTCTCTTCATACCTCCAAACTATCCAGGTTTCTTCTTTCTCTGACATGACTTCTACTTGAATAATTAAGTAGGAAATCTCAAGCATATCTTCTCACATATCTGTGAATTTTCCTATATTATATATATATGTATGCACATACACTCTCCCTACTCACTTATTTTTTTTCCTTCATTTTATCTAAGCTAACCCCTACACTAGACTCATCTAACACTGACCACCTGGTCTCCAGTGACCTCTGTTAAATGACCTTTCTGTTATCTATATCCCCCCTACCTCCTATATCACTCTGAAAAATTCCATCCTAATGACAATTTTCTCTCCTAGCTTATTTGTTTAACTGCTCTCTTCGTAATAGCTCTTGAATATCATAGGCTAATTTCATTGTACTTTGCTGCCACTGAATTCTACTTTCCTCTAGAGAAAACACTAACCGAATGACAAATTTGTCTTCTAGCAAAGAGGAGACTATTAAAAGAAAAAAGGAAAGAGAAAAGTGGGCTTTTAGTTCTGGATAATACCAGAGAAGGGGACAGAGAGCAAGGAGGACCCTGAGCTCACTGCCAACCCTGAGCTAAGTAGTACAAAATGGTAAAAGATTCAAGCATGAGAGGACTTCAGGGAATGCAGTTGCTTGGGCAATAACCAGGTCTCTCTTAAGGAGAAGAGGTAGAAAGAGACTAAGAGATTGATTATAGTGGTAAAATCTAGGTCACAGCTTTAGGAGATAGAAGTAGCAAGACTTGAGAGATGGGAGTTAATGGTGGTTATTGTTTTTGTCCTATAAACTATTATAACACTTTGGTTTCAATAATATACTTTTTCTGCAGTGACACAATTCTCTAAAGAAAAATCAGAACACATGATTAAACAACAAGAACAAATATTTGAAATTAGGACTTCTTGAGAAATTGGAGACATGTGGTTGCTGTAATTTTTCTTCACACTATCCTACAGCAATTTCATTTATTTATCTTACAGCATGTAGCATTAAGATGTTCTGTATTTAACCTCCCTTAATTTAATATTTTCTAATGTGTAGCATATGTCTCTTTTCTCTTTATATATTTCTATAAATAGTATGTGTAACATTAGATTTTTTTATATTCTTTTCTTCAAGAATAAATTCATATATCTTCAGTCAGCTAAAAAAATGTACTGAAAGATAAATTATTCCCTATATCCTAAATAAAAATCTTTCTATGTAGGGGAAGGGTGGTAGAGAGCCAGGAGTTGGAGTTCACCATGAGATTAGGGGACATCTTTCTCAGGAAACTACATATACTCACATTAGTGTCAGAAAAGTTAATGTAGAAAGGAAAGAAAAATTGATGGTTAGTACATTAATAAACTTGCATTCTGGATCAACTTTATCTGTCAAAAATCTTTTTAATGAAAAATAAATTATTTGCAAGACTATTTTTTCCACTGAAGTAGAACACTGGCTAGAAATATGGTTCATAAATTTAAAGAATGGATTCATTCTGTTTGTGCTTACTACACAGGGGTGCTCCAGAAATGCTGAGATAGGTGATTTCTCTATAAGTGTTTCAGGAGGAGGAAACTAGTATAGAAAACACCTTGGAAAATATCTCCAAAACTCTGTGAGCCTCAGTTTTGGGTTTGGTTTTGTTTCTTTGAGGAAACATTTGAAAACATATAAAGGAAAGAAAAATGACTCTAGAATCCTTTGTGATATATGTCTACTTATCTTTTTCTCTAATCACTCTCCTCTATAAATAATTGTGAGGCATATTTAATGGAAAGCAGACTAGGATATGAAAATTGCAACTATGGAAAACAGAAGAGCATTGCCTGTGGGGGAAGTGTTTTACAGACCCCATAGTAGAGGTCTTAAAGATGATTTTATCTGGTAGAAAGAGAATTTCAAAAGCTGGATGTTTCAGAATATTTCTCAAGCAGACTAAAATTCCAATAAAGACTTGAACTGCCATGCCTCTTTGAAAATCATCTATAAAAAACTTCACACTTTACTACTTACACTATTTGCTGTTACATGACCAGCACTTTGAATTTTTTGAGTATGTTTAAATATATCCTCTGTAGCCTACTGAAGACAAAATGGTGGTCAATTGTCCGTGTGTTAGTATGCTTAGTTTATTTGAAGTTAGTTTCTGCACACACTTAAGATAAAGATGCAATACTAATGACCAAGTGCGAATAAGTGCACAGATTCTTTCCTTACCTACAAGAAACAAGGCTGCAGAAAAGTGATTGATAGATGTTAACATTAAAGAAATTTAGAACTTCCATTCCACACATGAGGAAAAAATCGAGAATAAAGCTACTTTGCTACCTTTTAGCACAAAAATATATACTAAAGCTCTATTCAGGCTTCGATTTTATCTTCTATTTTGTTCTGTTATTCTATATACCTTTCTATAATGGTCTGACTCTTCTCAACTACATTATGTGATCTAATTACTTTTCCTTGACAAGGACTCTTATAAATTAACATCTCCCTTCATCTCTTCATATATGTGAAAAGTCCACTAGATGCATGAGCTATCTAGTTCTGAACACTCCTTACAAC